TTTTTTTAACAGAGTCTCACTTTGTCCCCCTCAGTAGAGTGCTATGGCATCACAACTCACAGCAACCTCCAGCTTCTGGGCTTAGGTGGTTCTCTTGCCTCAGCCTCCCTAGTAGCTGGCACCACAGGCACCCCCCACAACGCCCAGCTATTTTTTTGCTGCAGTTTGGCTGGGTTCAAACCCACCACCCTCGGTATATGGGGCCGGTGCCCTACCCACTGAGCCACAGGCGCCACCCATTTTTTTTCCCCCAGAGTCTTGGGATAGCTCACAGCACTGGCAGGTGCCACACAATAAGCTAATTTTTCTATTTTTAGTAGAGATTGGGGCTTGCTTCACTCAGGCTGTTTACTCAAACTCCTACCCTCCCAGGGTATTAGGATTACTGGCATGACCTACAACATCCACCCTCCTCTCCCACTTCTAATCAAAGTTAACCTTCATCTGTTCTAGAAGATGAAGTGAAAGGAAGGAGGAAAAGAATTAGTCAAAGCAACTATTTTCCTTGGCCTTCAAGCTGAAATATTGAAGTTAGGAACAAATGTATCTGTTCCCCATAGCAAAAAACTTCATTTGAGGCAGAATGATATAATAGAATGAACATGGGTTCTGGGTTTAAATATTAATTTGAGCTTTACTATCTGCTTAGATAAGTCACCAGTTTCTACTTCTGTAATAAAAGGCCAAGAATATCTACCTAATAGAGTTACTGAGATATCTCCCAAGGGAGAAGGGAGAAGGAAATATTATAGTACATTTCTAGAGTGAGAATAAATTAGTAAAGCCCTATTGAAAATTAATTTTTTTTTTGAGACAGAGTCTCAAGCTGTTGCCCTGGGTAGAGTGCCGTGGTGTCACAGCTCACAGCAACCTCAAACTCTTGGGCTTAAGCAATTCTTTTGCCTCAGCCTCTCAAGTAGCTGGGAATACAGATGCCCGCCACAATGCCTGGCTATATTTTGGTTGTAGTTGTCATTGTTTGGCAGGCTGGGGCTGGATTCGAACCCACCAGCTCCAGTATATGTGTCTCGCGCCATTGCTGCTGAGCTACAGGCGCTGAGCCAAAAATTAATTTTTAAATACATACTTATCAGGAGCATTAATGATGTTCCTGATCTTCAATTTAGGAATTTCACTTCTAAGTTTTTAAACTAAAGAAACAATAACAAAGACATAAAAGGCTATGCATTCAAAGATGTTTATCACAACATTACTTAAAATCACAAAAATTTAAAGTAATGCAAATGTCAACAAAAAGAAGAGATGAGGCAGCCTCAGTAACTAAGTTGGCAGGGCACTGGCCACATACACCTAGTGTGCCGGGTTCGAACCCAATCTGGGCTGGCTAAGCAACAATGATAACTGCAACCAAAAAAATAAAATAGCCGGGTATTATGGCAGGCGCCTGGTAGTCCCAGCTTCTTGGGAGGCTGTGGCAAGACAATCGCTTGGGCCCAAGAGTTTGAGGTTGCTGTAAGCTGTGATGCCGAAGCACTCTACCCCTCTACCCAGGGTGACAGCTTGAGACTCTGTCTCAAAAAAAAAGATCTGGTTATTTAAACAGTGATACCAAATCAATCATTTCAAATTTTGTTTATGAAGACCTGCATTAAAAGACACTTCTGGCCAGGGCAGTGGCTCACACCTGTAATCCTAGCACTGTAGGAGACCGAGGCAGGTGGAATGCTTGAGCTCATAAGTAGGAGACCAGCTTAAGCAAAAAAGTGAGACCCTGTCTCTACTAAACATAGAAAAACTGAAGCAAGAGGATCACTTGAGCCCAAGAGTTGGAGGCTGCTGTGAGCCTGCCATGGCACTCTACTCAGGGAGAAAGCTTGAGACTGTCTCA